GGGAGGGGTGCAAGTTGTAGCACCCCAAAATCTCATGACTATAGACTATCTATGGTTAAAAGAACATATGGGATGTGAACAGATCCCAGAAATGGGCTGCTTTAATTTGTCTGATGGTTCAAGTACAGTTGGAAAATATCCATCATATCATAGATAAATTTTCACAAATGCCTAGGGTGCCTAAATGGTTTTCTTGGCTTCACTGGAGATGGCTGGTAATTATAGATTTGCTTTGTTTATGTCACCGTATTCCTATTATGTTAATATGTGTGTGCAAATTAGTTAGTAGTTTAAAACCTATACATACTTAAGGTACTATACAAGAAGATATGTCAAAGAAATAATCAATCCTCCCAAGTTTCCTTCATATGCTACATCTATAGCTTTTCTTCTTCCTTCCTAATTACAACCCTTAAATAGAATTCGTGCCTCATATCGAATTTACCGAGTATCATAATTCCTCCAGGTGGTAAAGATACCTCGAGACAAGTGCTGGGCATAGAAGCCACAGGGCATAAATCTGCAAAGAAGTAAAAAGCTAACCTTTGCAAACAATATGGCTTCTCTCTCACTTACCAACTTTACATTTCCCTGTATGGCCCCGGAAGATGACTGGTTAGCCAGAGACGGGTAAGATTCCTCAAGGGAGGAACAACCTAAGACAGGCACAGTCGCAGGGGGGCCATCAGGTGAGAATTTGGGGATCAACAGAGGTGAGGCTCAGAACCTCACCCCCCCTGCTTTGAGAGAAATCTTCTGCATCCGTGGATGTCTTGCTGCCCTTGTCTAGCCTGGATTAATACTTAGTCCATAGGCACACACCTGATCATCTGATCATCTACATTTGCCCTCTTACAGCACTAAACTATGTTTTCTACCTTTATCTTGCATCTACCTACCACTTCAGCATTTTATTAAAAATAAAAATAATAATAATAATAGGAGAAATGTGGGATCAACATATAAATCAAGTACAAAAATCAAACGAATATTCATATTTGACCTGATTGTTTATAGGTCATAATGCGTGATCAAAACCGAAAGTTTCTGTGATGAATGCCCTTGTACTGTTCACCATGTAAGAATTTATTCACTATGTAAGAATTCGTTCACCATGTAAGAATTTGTTCGTTATGCTTCAGAAGATTGGAGACTGACGAGAATTAGACTTGAGATGGATTAATGATTGTACATTGAGCATTGACCCCCCTATACTGAATTTTATTGTTGTTAACAACCATTTGATCAATAAATATGAGAGATGCCCTCTCAAAAAAAAAAAAAAAAAGCAGAGAGTTGAGAAGAAGTAAGATTTGTAACATATTCTCTGGTAATCAGACAATAACCCAACAGCCTATCTTAACGCAAGGCAGACAGTCTTAACTGATATGTCCCCATGGCTTGAGGGTAAAAACTATCTCGTAGAACAGGATAAACAAATCTCTTGTGTTAGATTTATTTAGCAGAATTATCTGGAGGACTGATAACAGAGGACAGGAGACATGGTGTCTCACCAGAGAGAAGTACCTTGAGACCACAAATCAAGCCTATGCCCAACAACCCTCCCCCTCCCTGCGCCCTTTGCCCCATTCTTGAAAGCCTTAAAAGACAGTGAGAAAGGGACCATGGGCTTAGACAGAATAGGGTGAGGGCCACTGGAAAAAGCAAGGCAGGATATTTACAGTCAGAGCAATGTAACTACAGGCAAGGAATCCCCCTACCAAAACTCTGTGTTGAACATTAAGCTCTAGAGTCATTCTTCAGTGAGATCAGTTAATATTCCCCAGATAAAGAAGAGTAGCACATGTTTTTATTATGCCAATCATTTGTAATCATGTGCAAGATTCACCTTAGCATGCTAAAGGCTCAGGCCTATGTGCTGTCTTTCCTCTTTCAGATCTGGTAAGGTGATTTTGCAAAGTGGGCAACTAATTTAGCATGCAGACCCAGCTGTAAACAACATAGTAAAAGGTAGGAAGGATTCCACCTTAAAGATAAGATTGCATTTTAACACCCAGGAAGTTTAAGTAGGATTCTTAACTTACTCTTCAGCAAACAGATAATACCTCAGCCCACCTTGGGGGCTGGGCAGGCAGCCTTTGATATGCTCCTAGACCAAGAGGCCAGTATCCCAGGGAGAAATCAGAGAAGCAAATTTCTTGTGTTGTTTAAATTTTAATACTGAGAGACCACTTGACAAGTCCATACCCCTAAGCCTTTTATCCGGTTCCCAAAAATCCTCAACTGCCTGTAAAACCCCTAGACAACACACCACTGCGGGCTCTCTCGTCCCCTCCTGGCTCACGCCAGGGGCTCTGTCTGTCCTCTCACTGTGTCTCTCAGTAAAAGTCTCCCAGGTTCTCCTACCTTGACTGTTTGCTAAGTTTATTCTTCCACTCTCCCAACAAGAACCCCGGCATCAAGAGAATCCCCAAACTTTTAGTAGCCTCTTCTCTGAGGATGCCTGCACTTTCCTTTCTTCAAGTGGATACTTTCAAATAAAACTTTCTCACTGCTCAGATTATTGCGGTTTGTCTCTTTGCTATTTCATTTTATTTCCAAATCTTCACTCTGTCTCTACTTTACTCCTGATAAGTAGGAAGGGACTGCTAAAAGCTCGTATTTGGGCCTGCATGTTTCTGTCGCCTGGGTGACCTGGACAGAACTGCCTCTGTGAGATCTGCTTTTAGTAGTCTGCCTGAAAATCTTCTTTGGAAAGTTCTCAGAACATAGTCTCATTCCGTCCTGTGCTCCGTGGCTCCCCCAAATCCTGGAGTAGTAGGGGCTGGTCTCCATGCTGTGCCAGTCCAAGTGGACACAGGGTGCCAGGTGACCCTGGTTTCAGGAGTTGGCAAGGGAATCTGTCCTCGGCTGAGAACTTTCCCCCTGCACTTATCTGTCTCTCTGCTGTCTCCACGGCAGCTGCCATTCCCTGCTGCTCTTGCTTTAATGAATTCCTTCTTTACCTACACTCTTCTGACCTGCTTGAGAATTCTTTCAGAGTCAGGAACCCTCCCCTGTCCAGGCTGAGGTTTCTCCTCCTGCTTCACCTAGTGAGCAGGGAGAGACCGCAGATGCAGCTGCCTGGCAACAGGAATTAAAGTAGCTAGAAATTTTAGAGAAAAAAAATGAGCATGATAGCAAATCCTGAGTCCACTGCTAAAGTAAGCATTCAGGTATACAAACTCTTACCCTGAAATTCTCTTACTTTACTGACCTTAGTTTTGTGTGCATAACCTTCCCAAAGTTTTCTAACTTTTGGGTGCAGTGTGCTGTTGACAAACTATATTTTTTGCTTTCCATTTAACCTACTTTTAAACCGATTTGTTCACCATCAGACTTTTTTTTTTTTGTGAAAGAGTAACTTGGGTAAGGTTGTTGGAATGATTAATAGATTTACCCATGTGTAAGTCTGGGGAAAGAAAATCCCGGGGCAACATACCTCTAAAAACCAAAATCAGTCAAAGGGAGAAACTAAGTTCAAAACCCATTTATTGCTCACAAACTTCAGTCCCAGGCTGTCTTTCTTCTCTGCTCAAGCAGCAACCACACCACCTGCCCTCTCCCTCACCTCTCAGGTACAGATAAACCCTCTGTTGCCCAGGTTAATATCCACTGACTGAACATCTCCACACCTGAGGAAAGATGCAAATGCACTAAAGTCATACTTCTTTCCACCTCTGAATGCCTATTGATATGTAGATGTACTAAAGCCAGGCAAGATATTCTGGAAGTATTACAATTTTACCCACAGGCCACCCCTCCAGAAATCTCGCCTTACAATTTGCTTGATCCCCCTCTTCTGACCAATCTAGTAACATGCAATAGCAACAACAACAAAATCTTGGTAATCTTCAAATCAGAGAATTCAGCCTATGCAGATTAAGTAAATGTACTTTACAGCACAATCTCTCACTAAGCACAAAATACATTTCTACACTTGTTTACTCATTCCTAACAATCATGCTAGATTGCTCACAAAACTTTTACCAAACATTAGACAAAGTCAAGCTTCTCTTTAAACATTATTTTCTTGACAACAGCAACACAATCATAATTCTCAAGCCAGAGGATTCAGCTAGGTTCACAGTCCCATGCAGATTAAGTCCAAAGCTCATCCATTCCAGCCATCACATGGCAGCTGCAGCCAGGGGGTGCATCCAGGACACAAAGACCATAGAAGCTGAAGGGCCACCACCAGTAAGATGGCAAATTTCCGGCTTCTCTTCGGGGGTCCTCGGTTCCCGCCGGTGCCACCTGAAGCCCAATCACCTCTCACCCCCCTCCCAATCCCAGCACCTAGCCAACAGCTACCAGCCCTGTAGAAGTGACAGCTCAATCAATTCATGCCCCTTCCTATATATAACCCAGCACCTTTCCCTAATAAAGCAGAACTCTCCGGTGAATTGCTGCTGTGTGTCGCTCCTTTCCTTTCAGAAGCAAATAACCATGATTGTCGGGGGCCAATTTGCTGTTATTACAGGAATACACAGAAGGCCAGCTTCCAGGCCTTTTCTCCAAGGTGCCAGAAGAGCCAGCCATTGCCGATCCATGTGTTGAAATGTCCAGGGCCATGTCCATTTTACTCCTAATTGCTGCACCCATCCTTGCAACACATGTCCAAAAAAGTGGGTACCTTGATTGCTCTCAATAACCGGTGACCGACCATAGGCTGCAGAGAGATCATCTAGGCCCCTCTTGGTGGTTTGCTGATCTGCACAATGTGCAGGGCACTCCTTCCGGGCTTGGCTGACTTCTTCAAAGGTGAAAGACAAGCCCCACCAACGGGCTCACATTGTCTTCTGAGGTGTCTGTGCCACGCCACTCTGTGGCCTTTGGGTCCAGTCTCGCATCCACCCTGTGATGAAATAGGAGGTTATTACCTTGGTTGGAGCTGTTCTGGCGATGGGCTCTGTAGCCAGCAAGGTGTGATACACAGCAGCCAGTTGCTTCAAGGTGACCCGGACCCCTGCTCCTTTCCATGGTTGTGGCCAGGCTCTGGCAAGCAGCAAGAGCAGCAGCAGTGGCAGAAGCAGTAGCCTTAGGCTCGGGCCACAGGCTGGGGTCAGCATGGCCAGCAGCAGTGGTGGCACCTCCATGACCACACGAGTGTAGACACGTGTCCCTCGGCGCGAGTGCCACTTCTACCCATCATATCTTGGGGTGGCCCTCCCAAAGGTCGCACCCATTGTGACAGATTTTGGGTTCACAGGGATCCTGCCAATACTACGCCAATTGTAAGTCTGGGGAAAGAAAATCCCAGGCAAAATACCTCTAAAAAACAAAATCAGTCAAAGGGAGAAATTAAGTTCAAAACCCACTTATTGCTCACAAACTGCAGTCCCAGGCCATCTTTCTTCTCTGCTCAAGCAGCAACCACACCACCTGCCCTCTCCCTCACCTCTCAGGTACAGATAAACCCTCTGTTGCCCAGGTAATTACCCATTGATATGGAGATGAACTTCTCCACGCCTGAGGAAAGATGCAAATGCACTAAAGCCATACTTCTCTCCACCTCTGAACGCCTATTGATAAGCAGATGTACTAAAGCCCGGTGAGATATTCTGGAAATATTACAGTTTTACCCACACCATGCAATAAAGAAATCCAGTTAATGTGCAATACTGATATGTCAAGATTTCACCAGGTATTTTTTTATGGTATACGAGTGGGAAAAGAAAGTTTATGGATCATGTTTGTATGATCACAGTTCTGCTTCCTAAAAAACCGCATATATGTTGTATATATCATATAGCTTTATATTAACATAAAAAAAGAAATGGCAGAATGAGTTCCAAATTGCCAGCTGTGATTAGTGGGAATAGGAAATGGGGTGGGATAGTTTTTCATTTTATATACTTCTGTGAGCTTTTGAAACTAAAAAGTCAAATATTAAAACAATATTTTTAAACACTTATTTCAAAATGACTGGTTTTAGTTTTATATGTTTACAGAAGATATCATGGAATGTAAGCTTAAGTTTTCTTAAAGTAGAAAGAGCCCTGGATTATTAGTGAAGGGCCCCCACCAGTAAGATGGCAAACTTCCGGCTTCTCTTCAGGGTCCTCGGTTCCCACCGGCACCACCTGAAGCCCAATCACCTCTCACTCCCCTCCCAATCCCAGCACCTAGCCAACAGCCACCAGCCCCATAGAAGTGACACCTCAATCAATTCATGCACCTTCCTATATAACCCAGCACCTTTCCCTAATAAAGTGGAACTCTCCGGTGAATTGCTGCTATGTGTCGCTCCATTCCTTTCATTGGTGCCGAAACCCGGGAGACGGGACACCCCAACTGGGCCCCGTCTTCCCCCCAACACCAGCAGCAGCTTGCTCTCGTCCTCTTTTTCCGGTGCTGGCTCATCACACTAACCACTCCTTTCTGGCCTTTAGCTAAGTTTTCCCCCTGGAGTGGGCCACTCTTCCCCGAGCTATTGCAGTGCCATTGACCGTGATCGTCCGGCAAGGCCCTGATGCTCGGGGATGAGGAGGGATCTCTCCCCGCCTCAGGCCTTCACGGCTGCGGTGGACCCTCAGGCCCCTCCTCCAACAGCCATACATCCCCGCCTCAAGCCTTTACAGCTGCGGCAGACCCTCAGGCCCCTCCTCCGACAGTCATAAATGCATTCACCGTCCCTTCCATCAGTGCTGAAACTTTTTAAGCAAAATTTCCCCGGGGTGGGCGACTCTTCTCCAAGCTATTGCAGTGCCATTGACCGAGATCGTCCAGCAAGGCTCTGACGCTCGGGGACGAGGAGGTAACTCTCCCCACCTCAGGCCTTCACAGCTGCGGCGGACCCTCAGGCCCCTCCTCCGACAGCCATAAATCCACGCCTCAGGCCTTCACGGCTGTGGCAGACTCTCAGGC